GGAAATGTGAAGTGGATTGTAGGGCAGTGGATCGTTTAGGAATAATGTATACCACAGTACAAAGTCATTTTGCGCCAAAAGTTAGTCGACACACAATTCAGCATTGGTGCATTTTCTCAAATTTAAAAAATTGAAAACTTAATTGATAACCTTGGCAACTTTTTATGTATTATTGTATATGAGCGGATTCGAATGCCTTTGCTGACATGACTTTGAGTGTATCTAGGAGCAGGCTGATTGTTCCATCACTCGCGTTCTATATTACTTAAAGCTGTGCTTCCCTCTTTAATCTCAGTCCATTTCTTTAATAGCAGCACATAGACATTCACTATTCTCAAGAATATAAGGCCATTACCCGTAGGGTCGCTTGGTCCATTTATGATGACTTAGACTATCAACGAGATTGGAACACGGAAAGGGACAGCGAGACAATTTTCGCAGGAAATCTTGTTGACGCCGATTAGGATACACATATGTGGTGTGTGTATATTAACCGTCTAGTCATGTGAGTCGTCTGTAGTTCAGGCTGTCTGGACCGCTGCCCAGGGCTGGGGACAAGCTCAGCAACACGCGCAGTCGCCAATCCTGTCTGACAGGTGCGTGCATTCAAGCGGTAGATACGGTGATACGTTGGGAACATGGATTTAAACAATTATATCGAAAACAGAAATAGGAGAGGACGGTAAATGTCAAAGTGGGTAATAGTTACTCTTAGTAATTTACAGTACTTTTGAGAAATCCACCACCAAAACCCAACTGTTTGCATAATTTCTGAGCTCTAAGATGCTCTGCTACCCCACACCAAATGGGACGCACGTTTTGCCAGGAGCCTCTGTATCTTTCAAATCAAGTTCAAAAATGTAATTCTACAATCCCATACACGTCCAATGAGGCACTGCAGCAGGCTCTCCTGGAGGTCGCACGAAAATTTTTGGCCATATGACAGCGTAAGCCGAAGTTCTGAGCAGTAGATTGGCTGATTTATTAATTTAATTCCATGTCAATCTTTGAAGTTTGGAATCTCGGGCCCGCTTTTTTAATTTCCCGAAAAGTATCAAAGTGGTGGCAGTCATCCACAAGAAATTTTTATTAATGAGCATTTGCTGAGACCAGGGGGTGCTGCCTTCTTAAGCTTTGAAGGTATTTTATGCCAAGAAGATCTGATTACCAAACAGCCATTAAACTCTATTTAAATTCATCCATCAGATACAGTGTTTTTCTATTTTCATTCTTGTTGTTATAAATTACCATCTCCCAACCGCATTTCAAACGTAAAAGGAATATGTCAGAAATATCGAAAGTAAAAGTTGACTGGCGGAAGGGCGATTATTTGCTTGCTAGTTCTCGTAAACCGTCACCTAATTCTTGCCCCGAAGACGCAACTTCCAGCTGTGATAATGAAACCCAGTTTTCCATTATATGAGCAACTACGTGGTAGCAATTAATTCAAAAGTGAGATTTCGCCTTTTTGCCACAGTCCTCGAGTTTTATGGGGTGGTCTTTGGAGGCATGGATATTATAATCCCGTCCTCAGTTATGCCGTACAGAAAGGCGCAGCTTCCCTAACAAAGGAGGAATATACTTACTTTGGAGAAACCTGTCAACTTTGAAGTAGGGGAAAATAACTTCTCCTTATGTGGACGTGTCTAATCTCTAAAACATGGTCTGATGTGGGTGGTGTTCTGTTTCAAAGCCATGATCAGTAATTTTAGTGATTATTTAGGGCTGACATTTCTTGCCGATGCTAAAATATCGGAACTTGGCGTTCTTGTTCTCAAAAACAGATTATATAAGCTCATCATGAGTTGTTTGAACCTGTTATAAGATGTCACAAGTGAGCGCCGCTGCTAGTAGGAACAACCAGTAAGCTGGAAGAAGGGAAGTCTTCCATCCACTGTGGGCAAAAATTTCCAATCTGATCGTAAAAGATGTGCTGATCAAATAGCTGCTCAATGTAGCTTACCATATTCCTCGCAAGTTTCAACAACAATTTGTGGATGTCAGGTAGGCATTTGAAAAAGTTAGGAGCGAGGAGACATTCTTTGACATTCCCCTTTAATAGAATTTCATGATAAAGAAATCAGAGAAATTCAATTAGTTGTTCAAATAGAGGCTTTATTTGTAGTATAGGCGAATTCTCAGCTGTAAGAGCAACAACTTTAAAGGTTTAGTTTTATCATCCTTGTGCAACTTTTATGTTTCATGGGGTTGCAGTTGAGATCAAAGGCATCATAATCTCGTCTGTAATACAGAAACAGAGGTATGCATTACTGTGCCTAAGTTGGGAGGATTGCACTTTGGTTTTAATTACAGGAAGGCAAAATGCGAAAGTGAGATTTAAGATTTTCACCCATATTACAGATTTGCAGTTACATATACACGAGCGTCTAGACTAGGTGACTGTGACAAACTACTTCACTCGAATTTCAGACATCTGAAACATTAGCAATGACATGAGCCACTTTTTTGAACTAAATAGCCGACTTTTGTATCAAAGTGAAGGTCAGTCATCGGCAGGGTGTAGGATGCGTCGCAGGTGTGCGAGCCTATCGCAATTGCATTCCCTTTCACATGTCAAGTTTGCTGTCGAAAGATGACTCAAAAGTATTATGTCAGACAGAATCATTAACCAATTTGATCACGCACTGTAAACTTTCCCACCCACGATTGTCCCTGTGGGTTCCTAAAAGACACCTACAATTGACAGCTTGGCTTTCAATTTTTATTTTATGAGACATAAACAGAATCACGTACTTTTGCATTCATCAACAATGGACGGTAGGAACGGCGTATTTTTGGCTAGTTATATTCCTTATCTTTAATGCCTTAGCTGGAAGCATAAAACAAATAACTACACCAAATGCGTGGGTTAAATCGTACAAGGAGGAATATAGACGCTATGTAACAGCGACCTACAACACTACTAGACTGCTCTTATTTGTGGCTTCAAAACCCATATGCTTTTTGCCTTCTTAGGTTACTTTTATAACTGGTAAATTCATACCTTAACTACAATGGCCAATTATCATGTTCCGGGTATCATGGTTTATTTTGGACTCGAGTTTGTATCACCCGTGGCCTGCCGTTCGCTTTACAAATTTTTTGTTCTTTATGTGGGATTTATCAATTTTATGATCAAGTACCTGGTTTATTTTTATCACTGTTGGTCGATTAAAATTAGCTCATCTATAGCTATAAAACAGCAGTGTGAATATTAGACAAACATTTTTTGCTCTGACAACAAACATAATACGTATAGCGGCTAATATTCGGCCAGTCGTATTTCCATCAGCATGTAGTCATTTCTCTACTTTCTTTAAGGGTGGTAGTTAACAAGAACAGCAATCAAATTAACAGTGACAAATTCAAAGAATTATGTGGATTATGGTGAGACAGCGATTATAAAGTAAGTGATGAGTCATAATTGAGCATCTTCTGTGGACTATTAGAAAAGGTGTATGAAAAACGTCACTTTGATTACGTCCATAAAGAGATCACCCAGTCACCTAGCACCCTCTTATGCTTTGATCGTTTGCCTAACCGTCCGCTTTATTTACACGAGCATTGGACTTTCACTCGGCGGTTCGGCCTGATGGCAATGCAAGCAGAACTCAGAACTTCTGTATATTGACTCCTCCTAAATTTTAGAAGAAAATATGGGTGCCACAACTGTAGCGTCCCGGGACTCCCTGAAGACGAAAGAAGACACAATACTCGGGCAGAATATATATTCAGCACGGAGAAGGTGTCTGGGCTATTGGCATGGCCCAAAAGGCCAACCCACCCAGCGAGGTACAAGGGGGCTAATTCGAAGCACAAAAGTGGCGCCTCACCAGAACCGAGGGATAAACCACTATCGTATTACATAGCCTCCCTCCTCTTTTGAGCGTCGTCCCCGGCGCTCCCACAGGTCAACCTCCCGCGTCAGCCATTACAACGTAGTCGGTGCAGTAAAAAAACACCCACGAGCCAACCGTGCCAGTCACCAAATTAGCGCGCAACTGGGGGGATAGTTGACCTCAACGTCACTGATCCCTCTTGGCAGCTTGACTGGATCTGGGGTTTCGTCCGGTTTAGGGATTTCATTCAGGACGGGGAACTGCGCCGGCCATCATGCGTGTCCATAGATAGATGCAGGAACACTGGCCTAAAAGCATATTTGAATAAGGGAATACAA